ACAGCCATTTCCCCCCAGTTCCCTGAACCCAGTGCATCGGGCTGAAGAAAACAAGCAGCAGCCAGACAGTTCCACAACCCTCCTTGAATAGCAGTGTGGAAGTCAGACAACTCCCTTTCTTGCTACCGTGCTCCTTCCCCATTTCCAAAATGCACTTCTAGTATATTTTAGTGGAGAGGAGACCATTTGTGCTTAATCACTGCTGTACACAAACAATTGATCATGTTACTTTTACCCTCTGAAAATGAAACTTGGACTTGCTGGTTTAAATTTTAAAACATTACCTGTGATATCGAAGAGAATTAAACAGAGCACAGTTTAGCAATTCCCTCCCCCATAAAATGCAGTTAAGAACAATTTTGTATTTTTGTGTTGACACCATAACACATATCCAGGAAGAACACAGTTTATTACTACAACACCCAAACCAAAAGCCACCACTCATGGTTACATTTTAAGCCCACCAACTCATGAATGGAATAATTTTCTCACCAACATTGTCTTCCCATTTCCTGGTGGGCCAAAGAGCAATAATCCACGTGCAGGAGCTCTAAGTCCTGTAAATAACTGAAAAGTACATCACGGCAAGTTACCTTCAAAGACTTAAAGAAGATAGTGATTTATCTCCTAAGAAAATGGTTTAAGATTGAGGAATGGCTCACTGGCTGGCACCAGCAGCAACAGGAGCAGTGCTACAACAGTACAGGATTTTAGAGAACTAAACTAACTTGACCTAATGCGTGTCACTGTTGTTTCCCACACAACAGTTACATCACATTATCATCGTTCTGTGCACAGAGGCACTGTGAAACGAGGATAACAGGATAACACATTCCTCAAGACAGACTTGCCTAACAAGTTTAAAGCATCAATTCCATTTAAAAAGGGGGAAAATGCAGGTGTGTAGTAGGCGAGTTAAAGCAATGTTCCTGCTAACTCCATATGGAAGAACCACTTCATCTCTTTTTTTTTTATTTTTATTAAATGAAACTTGAGAAGACTTAAGTTTGATCAAAACTATTTAAAACATTGCTTAACAACCACCTACTCTCTCTAAATGCTACTGATAATAATCTCCTGCTTCTCACTTTGCATTGGATTCATCTTTCCTATGCCATAAAATTGCACCCATCATATGTAGCATCAGAGCAAGCAAAGCTACACATCCTCACGGAGCACATCTCCTGTGCTTAATCCTGCAGCCTGTCTGCCCCAGTACTTTGTCTTTACCACTTTCTTCAAGAGTTTCAGAGGTCTGGGTTTGGCCTCATGCTCACCCCTCCGTTCCAGCTTCCAGTAATTCCAACAAACAAACAAAAGGAATAGCAGGGAGTCACTTATATATAACACCGTGTCCAAACACCATTGCTGGCAGGCACTCCTTCCCACGATACCCATGATAAGCAAGGGCTCCACTACCGAGTAGTGTTTTTAAGATGAGCAACCACAGTTCCGCCGCAACGACCACCATTTATCGCTGAGACACGCTGAATTTTTAAAGTTTTTATTAACAGACTAATCATACTAAACATGGTCTGAACTAATTGCTACCGTTTTATTAGCCTCTTACTCCTGAAATGGTTGTAGTCATGTCTCTCGCCTGTGTTTTCTGTTTATTCACCTCAACTCTTGCTCTCCTACAAAAATACCATTACTTGAATTGTTTAAGTATGAATTTAAGCTCAAAGCTTCATTAAGGTTAAAACTGAAGTAATACTTAGTTGATTAAATATTCCCCTCTAGTTGCCAGATCTATCATGTTCATTTACAAAGAATAAAACCAACCTCTTTTCTTCCAAGGAACATGTAAAAATTCATAGCATTCTCTGTCCTTGTTGTATCTCACCAAGGTCAGGCCCGTTGCTAGCTACAGTAATACGAAGATGACCTTACTGAAAATACCAACTGCTATCGGAAAAGAGTCGTAACTACTCTAAGCCTCACATCTCCAAGTCCTTCCCACCCAGCTCATTGTATTAGCGTTACTGAACAACAAACGTGGCATACTACAGCACTACAACAACAGAGCAGTACAACGACATTTTCCTTCTGCATAAGACCAGAGCATGCATATTTGATGCCAAAGCTTTGTTTTCCTCAGGGCTAGTATTCCTGTGACGCTATGCCAGGTTTAGGGTTTCTTCCTCACATCCCTTCAAAACCAGAAACTGCCTTAAACGAGAGAGGAAGACCACAGAGCAACTCCAGTCCCCTGTCAATGTGACAAAAGGGACCCAGAAGCAAACAAAGAATGAACAGCAATTTTGTTTGAATAATCAACACTGCAGTGAATCATTGCATGCAACTTCTCCAAGAGTCCATCAACTTTTAGCAAGTTCAACTTCAGAAAATGACCAATTTAATTTTTTTAAAAAGTGGCTCAGAATAATTCCAGTAGTATATAGACCAGACCTGAATCTAGGCAGTCACAGTAGTTAAGGTACCACCTATGGTAAATAAAATAAAAGCTGAAATTACCAATTTCCACTCAGTCAACTAAAGAGGAAATCTGCCCTCAAATGTTATACACCTCAGTGTACTTGCTTGTTCACTACTACAGTTCTTTGCATCCTCTCCTGCGGTGAACAGACTATTCAGAGCGTCTAACCAACATCTACACAGAGAACATGACCACAATACCAATTTAACATTTTTCAAATCAGATAGTGTCATGACTTAATTTACCGATACAAATCTCAGCTGTTTCACTCTTCCAGTTCTGGGCTTTGTCCTTTCCATGCCCATATAGGGTTGGGGACACAGCTATAGCTATCTGGAACAGTCAGACTCACAACTTTTCAGGATTTTTTGTTTGGTTTTTCACGGGTTTGTGGTTCGCCAAGGGTTGTTTTTGTTTTTGGGTGGTTTTTTTTAAGATATTGCCTCAGTCACATTCTCCAACATTGACTAACTAGAAGACAAGGAATTTCATGGCAGTATTTTAACACATAAATTCTTCATTCTCCTTTTCCAAGACAGCTATCGATACCAACCATAACCAGTAAATACAGGATTCAAGAATCACAACTTCATGCGTGAAGCACAATACATTTCTTTGATTCTGTGACAGTGATAACAATACTCAGTTGCTTACCTCAGGTCTAAGAGAAGGAAGGATAACAATTTCTTGCAAAGCTTGTTTAGCCAGTTCCTGCCCTGCAATATCATCAAATTTGACAGCTGGCCCACTAACAAAGAAATGGAATACTAATTAGTCTAACAATGAGATACTCTTTCTCAGCTGCAGCTGACTAATTTAATTCATTTGACTATTTATAAGAACCCTTTTGAGAAAATCTAGAACTTATATTGCTAAATATTTAAAAAAATAAGAATTTCTGATTTGAATTTTCATCCTTTTGCCAAAGTGACAACAACAATAACATAAAAAACAACCCAAAACAATCCCCCCAAAACCCACAACAAACAGAAAGTACCATTCATTCCAAGCAGACCAAGATTGTACTGAACAGAAAACTCTTTTTCTGCATTGAAAAGCCTACTTTTCTTCAGACTTACCTATCAACAATTTCATTCAGGATAAGGTTAGCAAGATTACTGTCCACATTTCTAAATATCTTCAAGTCTTTCTTTTTTCGAGGAGCAGTAGTAGGAGTAGAAGGCTTATTTGTTCTGCTGTTTTTAGGAGCAGCCTGGACGAGGGGGGGAGGGAAAAAACCCAAACACACCCAGAAAATCAACTTCATACTTTTAAAACATACCGTTCGCAAAATTACATTTCATATGCTCCAGTAAAATCTAATATGATAACATATACCAGATACGCTGCTGCTGTATTTTGCGATAGATCATGCTATCACATTCAGCCACAGGTAGAACATCTTAGGCTCCCGTGAAGAGGGGTTTTTTGGTTTGATTTTGGGTTGGATTTTCTTTGGTTATTTTGGTGGGGGTTTTTTGGAGAAAATTCATTAATGATGGTGTTTTCCCCCTGCATACTCTAGAAATAAAGCGCCACAAACTGTTTCACATTCTCAATACCTATAAGCAAGAATTTCTACTGCTGTCACGCTTTGCCAACAGGCCACAATAATGCTTAACCACATTTATGTTCTGTCCACTCTGCTCTTTATTCTACTTTACTGTGGGAGTAGCAGGTGGGAGATAAGGACAGAAGGGAAAGGGATGGGTCAAAAGAAACGCAGCATTTTTCTATCTTATTAGTACAAGACTTACTTTTGTATTTCCGTCACAGTGTAACCATAATTTGCTTTTCAATGTGGTTGCAATACGACCTGTGCACACATGCTTTGGAAGAGAAGGAGCACACAAGGGGAAGATCTGCAGTTCTGGACTAAGAGGGTTTTTTTCTCCATCCTTTACATACTGGGAGTACAATTTATTTTTCTCCTAGATAAGCTTCCCTCAGTTTCCCACACAATTTTCAAAGCAAGTATTATAATTTGCCGATGAAGCCACCCAATGCCTCCCAATTTCTGAAATCCACTTTGCAGCCTAGCTCAAGAGGCTTGGCCAAGAATTTAGGGGTTTAGTGTTGTGGTTTTTTGTTTTGTTTTTTTCACTAAAATTTCCTGCTACTACAATACTGCAACAAAGGCAGTAAAACCAAAGTTTGTTCTGGAATTTACATTGACTTTCCAAGTGTATACTGCTATATTTATGCTTACCATACCTTATGAGTTGATGCTGCAGGATTAGGTGCTGGTCTAGACACAGAAGTTGATATCCCACTGTAGCTAGGTGTTCTGTGGTGACTTGAAAGGCCTGTGGATCCAGTTTTTGCAACAGTTTTTGAACGAGGAAGGGAATTACTCGTGTGTGTTAAGGGATCCTTCTTTTTTGGAACCGCTCCGCTTTCTATAAAGAAAACCAACGTCACGAGAACATTTTCAGCAGTCATACTTTTACCATCAATTCTAACTTGAAGATAGTATTGTTGACACATATATAAAGTATTACAGCAGAATAATACAAGTTTTAAAAACAGGTTTAGTACTTTTAAGGGGTATTAACTACAGCTTTCTCTTAAAGTTAAGTTTTGCATTTTTAGAGGCTCTCAAAACCAACACTAGTTAGGCACCTCAGAAAAGCTGGAGATGGCTAAGTCCTGTAACAAGGGAAGAACACCATCTATTCATTAAGACAAAAAACGACACAACACAAGCCAGAAGATTTCCTTCCCAAGAACTCCTAAAAATAATCATTATAATAATCCTCCAATTTCAAGCCATTAGATTCAGAGCATTCATTCCTTAAGTGATGTGAGCAGGCCAGTCACTTTGTACATCAGCTAACACCATCTAGCACCTTTCACCCAGAAGCTTTACCAAGGCACTTCAGTTTGGGAAAACTAAAATAGTTATACCTGCAAGCAACTACCAGGAGCTTTTTTTTTATAATTTTATCTCACTTTAGGAATCTGAAGGTGTAAGTAAATTCTGCATGGACATCTCTGAAGCAGCTTACCTTCATACTTTTAAAATAAAGTCTTAAAACACTGTACTATGCCACTGAATTCAACCACCACACATTCTGTTCACACTTACTCTAATTCACTTCATGATGGAGCAGGAAGGTCTCAAATCAGATGACAGATAAAACATAACACATTGGCCACAGGTAATTAAACTACAAAAGGCTATTTTTGTCCAGACTAAGTGAAACAGCACTCGATTTCTACATTCTCCATACGGGATAAATGATAAAATAAGGTTCCTTGGCATAGAAATGGCAAGTGTCAAACACCAAAACAGAGACAAAGAGGTAAGAAAGTGCTACAGCAAGCATGCAGGTTGGTCAGGCTGGTTAATGATTAGAGCACCGCATCAGATCAGGGGCCTTTTGTGGTGGGAATACAGTAATGGAAGCTGTCTCGTACAGTCATCTACAATGGACACTGTAAATACTGCCTTATTTTATATCCTTTTAAAAGAATTAAGGAGCCTTTTGATTAGATAAGAGAAATATGGCATCAGAGGCAAGGAAGCTCACAATGGATTTCAGCTACAAGTTTATCCACTAAGATTTTAGAAATCTGCAATTCAGTTTGTCTTGTTAGTCTTCAGCAGCAGGCCAAAGAACTCTGATTTTTAAGGAAGTTAATGACTCTACGAAGAATTTTTCATTTATAATATTGCAGTTCTGTGAAAAACACTTTAAATAGAAAGCCTCATAATTTTGAATGTTGAGTTTAAAAAATTCAAGTAAGAATACTTCAGTGAAACAGTATCACGGAAGGATTAATGAATTACTACAATGTTCTCAGCCTCTTTAAACATAGAGTCTTCCCTATGTACATCTTCACACAGCCTGCAGTTATCCATGTGTTGAACTACTTGGCTAACAAGCTTCTAAAGCCTTTCATCAGTCACAAATCTAACCCTTTTCAGAGTTACAGAAACTCTGCAGGGGTCATCAGACACAATGTAGAGGTATCGATATGCAAAAAACAAGGGAACTTGAATATAATGAACTAGATTTACCTGTAAGATATTTCTTGTTAAAAAAAAAGGGGGGGGGGGGGCAAAAAACCCCCCCAAAAAACAACCAAAACTGGCTACTGATTAAACCACACACAGATCCAGAGGTAGTTAAATTTACTTAGTCATTCCAACTTCCAACTCAAAAACTCTTCAAAATTAGGCATACCCAGTACCTTTCAAGTTCAAAAAGCAGCATATGAATCTAGCTACTCAACACTTTGGCCTCATTTGCACCGCTGGCTTAAAGTCAACATGGGAAGGCTTCACAAACCTACAGCAGTTTCTCCTCTTATCTCCTTCACCCTAACACATTGCTCAATTATCACACTTTCGCAGAACTACCCCCATTTATCAAGAACGATACATACACACATTGCAATTTTGAGTATCACAAAACTGCACAGGTAAAGAGTACTTCAGGAAGCTGGAAATACAGGAAGGGGGAAAAAAGGGAAGAGAGAAAGGTTTAAATACAAATTATGATTTACTCTAATTGTACTTCCAGGAATCAAGACCACTGAGTTCACGTGTGGTCAGTCCTAATGGGGAGCACAGAAAGAATCTCTTATGAACTACCCTTGAACATAATTCCTCAGTGTCAACTCCATAGGAAACTTGATTTCATACACAAATTTTCATTGAAAAAGTAAATAGATGTGATCAAACTTTTCAGAATAAGTTTATCTAAAGTTTCCCTATTTATAAAGTGTGAAATGTTTAAGAACACACATGTCACTTGTCAAACCGATAGCCCCTACTGTTTCCATTATGTGAAATATATATTGCTGTTAATAAATGCCAAAATCCCAAAACACATTTCTTCTCCATTTGTATTTGTCATCTGCATACTGTTAAGACTGAAAATATGCTGTAAATAGCCTTAAAACCTCTGTAATATCTCCAGCAGTCTTTTGCCAAGTATTCTACTGTTTTGTATAAAACAGTAAGGAACTGACGAAAAGATGTTCTAATCACAAAACGGGACCACAGCATTTTGTCACATATATTCTAAACGTTGAACAACTCAATTGTCTACTTCATACACACTTAGTGGACAGTAATAGGGGCTTGATCATTTTCATTTTACTCTCTTATTCTTGACTGGACAGAATAATTTACTTTAAAGCTCCAAGCTCATGCCACTAGATCATACAGAAATGATAACTGGTCCTGAAAGCATCCCTGCCATTTTAATCTGCCATCCAAATATATACACAACACAAACAAATTACAAACAAGCAAGGAGCAAAATTTTGTCTGAGATTTCCTGTTGGTTAAATTGTGATAAGCTGCAGACACAGGTGCTCAATTTCAGATTCCCTTAAAGGGAGAAATGTTAAAATGTATTTATTATATGTAACTGTTTTTAAAGATAAAGTAAGGATATGTTTGAACGACTTTAAGAGAAGCTTGACCATACTACACACCTGGAAACATAGAAGCAATCTGGGAAACATGGAACTCTAGCTTATTTATTTAATAAAGACAAGAGTAAGCTTTGTATTTTAAAAGGAAGTCAATTATACTTTTTGCAAATATTGCACAGCAAAATACGTGCTGCAATTGCAAGATTGACAGTTATTCAGGATCAGCATTCACAATAGCCCCCAAAACAGTAATTCCTTCAAAGACCATATTCATAGAATGACAGAATACTGGGTTGGAAGGGACCTCAAGGATCATCTGGTCCAACCTTTCTCGGCAAAAGCACGGTCTAGACAAGATGGCCCCGTACCCTGTCCAGCCAAAGCTTAAAAGTGTCCATTGTTGGGGAACCCACCATTTCCCTGAGGAGATTATTCCAAAGGCTCATCGTTCTCATTGTGAAAAATTTTCTTCCTTTGTCCAATCAGAACCTCCCCAGGAATAACCTGTACCCATTGCCCCTTGTCTTCCCCATGTGACTCCTTGCAAAAAGGGAGTCTCCCATCTTCTTTGTAGCCTCCCTTTAAATACAGCAACATGGCAATAAGGTCTCCCCTCAGCCTGCTTTTCTCAAGGCTGAACAAACCCAGTTCTCTCAGCCTTTCCTCATATGCCAGGCTTCCCAGTCCTTTTATCATCTTCGTGGCCCTTCTCTGGCCCCTCCCCAGCCTGTCCACATCTTCTTTGCACAGTGGGGACCAAAACTGAGGACAGTACTCCGAGTGGGATAAGGACTTCTTTCTCGCTGACACTGATGCCCTTATTGATGCAGCCCAGCATCCTGCTGGCTTTCTTTGCCGCAGAAGCACGCTGTGAGCTTGTTGTCCACCAGGACCGCCAGGTCCCTTTGCACAGATCTGGGTAGATCCCAGCGTTAGATTCAGATTTTTCAAATAGGTACACTCAGTAATAAAAGCTACCTAACAGAAAACTTCAGCAACTAACAAGGAGCTGTTCCCTGTTTCAAGTGGTAGCACAGCTACACAGATCAGGAACACAGTTGTTCTCCTTTCGAGCTGACAGAGCCACATGAGTAAAAGATCTACTGTTGCCAAATTATGGTAATAAAAATGATCTCATCGCTACTTGTTCTTCTACTTGGGAAACTCCTTTAAAAAATTCAGTATTAAGAGTAGGATTTTTACAATTTGAAAAATATTGCCAATACCCGCCTACTATTAAAGACCTGCCAGCAAATCCCTCCAAGTGAAAACTAAGATAAAACACTAGCTACTTGTACAGTAGTAATGTTGTGCTAAGAAATGGAGATTCAATGCCCTCTCTGACCATATGTCATGCTGAGATTTACACATCAAATGTAAAATGGTATATTGGAATTGCTGTAATTCTACTAAGTACCATGTGCCCAGTACATAAGTTCATAAAACTCATAAATTATGCCTTTGGCAAGACTGGTATAATCTTCTTCCCAATCTAGTTTAAAAACTAAAAACAACAATCCACAGTGCAAAGGAAAACAAGCATGCCTAAGGAAAAAAAAAATCCAACAAAACAGCTAAATTGTTTTATATCTAATTTAAGACTGCTATGAAAGCAAGACTGACGGATATTTTAAAAAATGTATAAAAATAGAAGGTTTTTGGTCAAGGGTACTTGTTACTATTCTTAAGTTACTGCGCAGCCTTCTGCAACTGAAGGGCAGGCGATACTGCTATAATGAGGTCTTACAAAACCTCATAACAAATCTATCACATACATTTTCAATAAAAATCTCTACTTATTCAGATAAGTTGGGAAACTATGAATGAGGAAGACAAGGATAGGTAGTATTTTTTGCTAAAATCAAGTAAATTGGCCTGAAAGGCTGATAGAAATAGTATTTTGAAAGCAGCAAGAATCTCAAATCAGTAACACTTTGGAAATAAAAAAATGCACAGTATAGCTTTGAGAACAGAATATCAGACAGAATGAAGAGGCAAAAACATCTTTAAAAATAGTATCTTGAAAGTAGCAAGAATATCAAATCAGTAACACTCTGGAAATAAAAAAAATGCACAGTATAGCTTTGAGAACAGAATATCAGACAGAATGAAGAGGCAAAAACATCTTTAAAGACTTTGCCCTTTAAAGGCAAATGAAAGAAAGCAAAGCACTTTCTGACCTAAGGAAGGGTAGAAAGGCACTTTCTTGATGTTAAAACTATGAATGACCATGTTTCACACTTCATAAAATCCCTGACTTTCAGAGAGACCAGCCTGATGAGGCAACAGCGCAGGTAATACTTTTATGTGGATAGAAAAATTAAGTTTATGCGAGAGCCCTGTGGCTCAGGACCTGTGCAGTACCCCTACTTTCTCAATAACAGCAGTCCTCTTATTTCAGGTAGCCTGCAAGCTGATTTTTGTATGGTTTTCTAAGGATCTGTCATCTCCTTTGTGTTCTTTTTACTGAGTGCAGCTGTTGGTGTGAAAATACTATCTTTATTACAACATGTATAAAGGGAGAACAACAGCAAGACGACTAGCAGATTGAAGCAAAACTCATACAGTACTTTAAGAAAAGAGAGTAGCACCAATATGTTCTCATGAACAAGATTTCCTCCCCCCCTACACCCCAAAGAAAGAGACAGAGACAGTGTGAGAGAGCAAGCACGTGTGTGTAGGCACCAGCCAATTAAGAAATTCAGACAACAATTAACAGGCTGATTTTCCTGGTGCTATCAGGGACCTCACAGCTGCAGGAGAGGTTTGCTACTTTGCGCAAACCTCTAGATTCATAACTTGCGGAAGTCAGAGGTTTACCTTTGGTGGCATAAATGCAAATGGAAATGGAACAAGCCTCTTACTTCAAAGTAATCAGTAGACATCTGGTACCTATTTTTGATGACCTGCTCTTTAGTCCTTCTGTCTCTCCTCAGATCCCACCAAGTCTGCTAAATGAAAGTTTGTCTGTTAACCCACACTCCTTTTCAGAAAGTAGGAAGACACTCTCTCAGAGAAAAAAGCATCCCCAGAAGATCACAGCCCTTTGCAGTTTTTTCTCTACCCCCTCCTTCACGATTTTGAAGAAGTGGTTCAGTCATTCATCTTCTATGAGTCACTAGGAGTACGACTCCAGAAAGGTAAATTCACCAACACCACTTTCCCACAAGTTTACCAACAGCAACCACCTCCTGCTCCAGGAACTTCTGTAAATAAAGACATCTGCCACAGAACCAGCCAAATGTTTCTTCATTTCCAATAGATGCCAATGGATACTCTATGCTTTGTTACTAAGAGAATTAAGTAACTAAACTAAGGTTTTAACAGTCAAAGTTCAGTTTAACCTTCTGCAGCCTCCAATTCTGAGATATGTTGAGAAAAAGGTACAAAAAAAAAAATTAAAGGAGAGAGTTTAAAGAAAATGCTGTTCATATCAAACCACACAGACCATGTTATCAACTTCTGCGTGTACATGTATGTATTTGTTCATTCAATCTCTAGCCAACCAGGTAAAAATACAGGACTTGTACTGGATTATTTAAGGTAGAGAGTTCTCGAGGTCAATCTATATAGGAACTTATACTGATGAGCCATTTTAACTACATCTTTTTGACAAATGCAGTTAACAAAAATACCAAACATAATCTAAAGGTGCCTAGCACGACATAGCTCCACTACTTTAACTTCTCATACATAAGAAAGAATAAAAACAAACAGTAAGATGAGTTAAGAACTAGAAATGGAGCTAAAAAAAATAAGAAAAGCATGTGATTTACAGTAAGATTCAAGTTAGTTACTTGAAAAACTGAATACTACTTTAACTCAGTAGACAAGCTGGATAAATTCCATTGCTTGTTAGCTCTCTATTTTATTTAACCTAATTATAGTCTACTGTACGAATTATCAGCTGAGACAACGGTTGTGACAATAGCTTACTGGTGGCTTAAAACATTCCATGATGACAAGTCACAAACTTCACAGCAACTTTACTCCTTGTATATGAACAAACAAGTTTACTTCTGGTACTTTAGTATCCCTGGTACAGTCTTCCAGGAAAGGATAAAAAACAACCTTCCTTAACAAAAAGCAAGAGCTGTTTTTTGCCCCCTCCTTGTTTTAATCGTGTATCACTTTCTCAGAGTAAAAAAACCTGAAATTTAAAGCAGCTTAATGAAAATGTATATTCGCTCTCACAATATCATAAAGGAAGAACTACTGATGTAGGCACAATATATAACCTGTGTATCCTACACTGGCTTTGACAGTTGCTAAAACAGGTTTAATTTAATCCCTTTAAGAATATAACATGAAAATTTTTTTCTAAAATATTGCCTTAGTAAATAGTTTTGGATTCTAGGATAGTCATTGTAAGAGAGAACTGAATACTACAAAATAAAACAGTGCTGTCAAAGCCATAAAATGGCTGGAATGCATTTTATACAAAGCCTTTAAAAACAGAAATATAAAACCATTTTCTTAAAAGTTGGTGGGGTCAGAACACAACATTGCATATTTTTCCTTGTAATACACCAGAAACTGAGAGACATCCCCTCAATAGGCGCTGGTAAAACCAAACCCACCTGACTGGAGATGTCCATTGCGGCATGCCAGGTTAGTACTGTCATTATAGACCTCCATTTGCGGCTTGGAAATTTGCAAAACTGCCTGCAGCTTCTCTACATAGTAGACAGAGGGGGAGGGAGGAAAAAGGACAAAATAAACAAACAAAAAGAAAAAATGAACCAAGAAAATTTATGTATGTTGAACACACAAATGTCAAGTTTGGTTTTGTTATACTTGATACAGGGTTAAAGGTAAAAGTATTTCTATCTATTCTACATATTCAGCAAACTTGTAAGAAAATTCTGTCCGTATGAGCATGAGTGAAAACAGCTTTAAAACTAGCCATTTACGGCTGAGTTGATTACAACAATCGTTCCAGTCTAGTGATTGTAGTTACTTCCCAAAAGCTATGGTCAGAATTAATTTAACTTCATTTACTAAATATTTGTGTTGGCAACCCATTTCTGAAAGTCCTCCCCAAGGTGTTACTTTGACCAACTGCAAGGAGTCATCACTTTCCTGCATATTAAATGTTTCACTTTAGTAGTAACAGCCAGTTAACATTTCACAGAAACCTCAGCTACTCAAGCAAAACACCATATATACATTACGAAGATGTCTTTCAAGATCTTTATTTAGAAATATAATTGCCTTGATATTAAGTCAATAAAATTGCCATGAAGTCCATGTTCTTTAAGAGGATTAACTTCAGAAGCATCTGAATACAAGATTTATAAGGTTAGAGATTAAGGAGAAAGAAGTCATGATAAACTAGCCAAAGCATAACTCAAAGAGGTGTAAGGCTGCAAACGACACACAAAACAAGAATTAAGTCTCAGAACTATTTGAGGACTGTGGCTCACCTACCACTCCTGCTTTTCCCACTGCAGTGAAATACCTCTAGGGCTTATTTTTGGGGTGCTTTGCAGCGTCTCCCACCTTTATTTCACTCACACACCTTCTTCGTAAAAACAAAACATGGATTGTAAGGATGCAAGGCATATATTGTCACACTCCCCCTCCTCCCTTTTTTTTTTCCTCTCCCCAAAAGATAACAGTACCAAGAAGCGACAGGAAAACAGATGGCCAAGTAGAGGAGCGATGTCCTCTGGCAACATGAAAGCACACACTGAAAAAGAAGCCAAATGCTACTGAAAACATGCACAGCCAAGATCATAAATGCCCTGAATGGAGGAAGAATCGCCATTCAGAGCCTGCAGATCATACAAGCAACAAGCATAAACACCTCCTTGCTTCCACTTCTTTGTCTATTATAAATCTTTTTTCCAGTCTTTCTGCTTCATTCCTTTCTTCTTATGCCTGTTCCTGATCACTCACCACTTCACTTCCCTGAAAAGTATCTTTAGACCCAATAGTTTAGGTGATGGTTTAATAATAATAATATCCAGACTGAACAAGATGCGGTTTAGGAAACTGAGCAGCCACAGGCAAATACGAAAAGCTAAAGTTCAAGATCAGTATGTGCACCCAGGGTTCACTTTGTTTTAAATTGAAAGCATTGAAGAGTCGGGTACAGCAAAACAACAAAATGTTAGTCATACAAGAACAGCCTACAAACAACCACAAGCTTTGTAACTTGCAAGAAGTTACCCTAAAAAACCTCCCTCTGAAGAAGTCTAAGCAGTCCTTTTAGTACAACTGACCGCAAACACGGTGTGCTGTTTTAGCAGGAGATACCAGAAGAGTTTACTCCCTGCCCAGTGCATGCAATCTGAATGGGAAGTACATAGAGAAGCTTACAAAATGAAAATTAGTATTAATAGACTTGATAAGGTATTAGATAATGAGTTACGTTTTGGAGAACATACATTTCTGACCTTTAAAAAAACCCCATCTTTCTAGCAAGTCACCGTAGTAAAATCAACTACAGTTTGAGACTGGGATTTTACCACAATTATCAATGGTTTAGCAAGTAACACATATTCAGGAACTCCAAAACTGCAAGAAAAAAAAAAGTAATCCAACTGTTGTCTAGCTTCAATTCACACACTCTCTTCTCTTCACATTACATATTAACATGTAATTTTAATATTGCACATAAAATTATATAAAGCAAATATATCACTTTTCTTGAGAGTGTAGCTGTAGAGCCCTCTGGAATAATGAAAATAAATTGAGCTACTAAATATTATTCCAGGGAATTAACAGGACACCCTATCTCCTTCCATCTAAATGCTTTCTCCCTCTGTCCCCAGACAGTCTGGGGAAAAAAAAAAAAAAAAAAGGTTTGCAGAATCTCATTCATTATTTCTCCTTGATGACACAACATTGAGATAAACCTACCTAATAAACACCACTGCAGCCATTCTCGTATTCAGGCAACACTAGACCTTGAGTTCAAGGCAACTGATTTGTAACTAAAAAAAAAAAGTTACCCTATAACACAAGCCTGAAGCAAAACCACCATTACCTCCAAGAAAGCAGAAGAATCCCAAAAGGTGTCCATTGAAGCCCATATCTACACACAGGCACTTACTACCAGTGGGGATACTGATGAAAGATATTTGAATTATGTGTCATGTGCACTCTTCAATCAAAATACTGGAGCTACACACAATACACAGCAAGGCACTAGCGCCAACAGAGATCTGAGCTCATACAGAAAGTCTCTGGAATAGGAGAACACACTATGAAGACCATCAGAGCAATATTTACCCACTCATCTAAACAACTGCACAGCTAACACACCATACACTGTGTCAAAAACAGGGGCTGCCACCAATTCATATGGCAGAACTTGTCCCTTGACAGCTAGCACATCTCAATATTGTCACTGGACTGCCAAAGTGATCAAGTCACCCTGAGGTGCTGTGAAACACACCTGGAGTAACTTCAGCTTTCGGGCTGTGTCATAGTACAGCTTTAAACAGAACACGATGCAGTCATTTAGACTCAAGATGAAAACAGGGCTCAAAATACTACAGCCATCATCCAAGGTAAGGAGCTACAACCGCTTGGTCTAAGTGGTCATCAGTGGTGTGATGACACGTGGTGATAACACATGGGTGTGATCAGACATCACACTCCCATCAATGGTGTCAAACATCCCCGTCAGCGCTGTCATGCAGCTTACACTGATGATCCAACACACTTCAACAAATCAAAGCACTGAGCATTTTTAAGGGACAGTTATAATCCATATGATTTATTTTCACTTTCTATGTATTACCAACATAACTGGCTTGGCTGGATGGCATTTCAGTTCGGCAGTCCGCAATCACATCTCTGTCTAGCAAGCAGGATGAAACATTTGATAACACTGTCTACTTTAAGTCTGGTTTATCCTGGCAGCTAATGCAATAAAGGACTTGTCTATTCTCCCTTAAGAAATTGAGAGATTTGACAGAGCTAAAGGTAAACACTCTTTGATCTTTAGAGTTGGATTCACAGGAAAAAATCACTTTATTGAACCTTAAGAGCTTCAAGAGCCTCAGGTTTAGTTCAACTACAAAAGCATCTCTACATCACTTAAAAACTTCCAAATATCTGTTGCTGTAAGTAACAAGCTAAAAGCTTTGTTTAGAATTGCATGTGCAATTCAACTCCGGATTAACTTAAATTTCTACAAAATCCATGTAAAATGACAAAGTAATAAAAACAGATACTGTCAAAACTTGAAAGTTGGCCAGATGGTGTAACAAATATTACTCAGATAGATCCATAATGATCAAGCTTGAGAGGATTTAAGTCCACTGGAACCTCTCTCCAAACAACATATTTTTCCTTCCTAAAGGGCAGATGACTTCACTTGCTCCTTTCTATCCAAATTTTGCTCTCAGGTTCATTGTTTGAGGCAGATCCTTAGTGCAAACTGAACAAGAACGTAAGCAGAACAAAGTACTAAACTTCTGATAATTTCCAAGTAAAAATTTGTCATATTTTACATCGATTTAAGCAATAAATACTATTTTATCTGTTTAACTTCCAATCTGCACTCTGAATAAGAATACAAACAGCACGTCATCACACACTCTGGTAGTAAAGATGAATGTACCAGCTTCACTTCAACTTTAGTTTTTTTGCAACATTTATGCTTTTAATCTTTTCAATCAGAGTACAGCAAGTAAGAAACTCATCAACATCCCAGGCGCTACTACAATAACTCAGGCAAGGATGAAGCACTACCCACAAAATACAGACACTGCTACTTCAAGGTTCAAAGAACATCAAATTTTTGGAAGAAATCCTAGTTACTTGCAATTAGGATGTCAACAACAAACCATACCTTATCAAAGATTGTTGGCATGTAATAACTTTCACTCTTTTGTTCCCTAGTTTATATTACCTCTAGAAGTCAGCCTCTAACTCTAAGAAGCGGAAAATACATTTTCTGCCTGTACTAAGGTTCTACCAACAAACACTCATAATAAAGTACAGAAGCAGTAAGTGTCTTTCACTCCATGTTCCCTTCATTTTTTTTCAAAAAGAACTAAGGACACCAGGAATTCAAGGGAAACAAAAGGGATGCACTTTCTTGTGGTTGTCACAACCTCCCTGTCAATTACCAGTCAGGACCACAGAATCAGCAAGTGTAAGAGGAGAAAAGAACGAGTCTTCCTGCCTGCTCTGTGTGCTCCTAGAATGGGGAGTTAGTATAACTCAAAACAAAATAGTGCAAGATTAAAGTGCTGCAGATACACAAGTTAAACTCAAGTACATTTGTTAGTTCTCCCTTGAAGAGTAATTAAAAAAATAAATCTTTATTTTCATTTTACTGCCCAAACTGAAAGCACTCCAAAGTTCTCAATTTAGAGGATGCACTACACAAAGCTGTGTGTCTGTTGCTTGATGCAGGGGGATCTTTGTTCATCATGGCCATTTACGATGCCATTTCCAATCCTGCTTGGATTCCAACCCTACTCTGTCCATTAATAGCTTATATACAACACTTAACTCTGATAGAGCTAAAACTATACAACACTATGCTTCTGAAAATAAGTGATCTCACCTGCTAGTGTTAAAATAGAATACTACTAGATAAAAATTATGAGAATTAGGATTTCATAACATTATGGTCTACATAATGCTAAAGAAATATTACTACAGTACATACGAATAATCAGGAAAATTGTTATATAAGTGGCAGCAGAGTTAACAGAACGTGAGGTATTTACACTTGCAGAAGGCACACTCGTGATCAGCAATATATTGTAAGTTTTACTACAGTTCCAACACAGAAATCCTAAACTAACTCCAACAAGAGTTAGTTAAGACTTCCTCAGTCTATGAGTCAAGCGTGCTATGGTATAAAGACTTCTCAGTTACTTTTACACCTATCTCTTTAAGCAGAGGGAAGTGGGTCCCAAGAGTCCAATTTCAAAATCCATCAACAGCATTGAAAAAATAGTACTTACTCTCAACTAAAACCCAAACTTAAAGAGAACCTACACAGATAATGACTCCTTCACTTGAAAAATAAAGTCATATTATAGAATAATGCATTACATTAAGTTGTGTAAATAATGACAAACTTTCCAAAGTTATGAATTGTAACTGGTACCTAAAAGCTGCAAGCGATCCTTGGCCATTGCCAAATTTGTCATCATTTTAGATTGCAGACGTCGAGCCCGTTCACACTGATCACCTTACAAAGAAAAATCAATGTTAAAACACAATTTGGCAAATTAACTTTTTTAAGTGCTAATATCTTACACCCAGCCTTCCCTCCTCTTCCTCCCACCCCTTACCTACCCCCTCCTAAGGAACATCGTTGCAAAACTTATGAAAAAAATCTCATGCTGACCCAATTTATGTTCTTTGTCACTGCATTTTTCTAAACAGAAGTCTAATAAAAAAGAGTTTTAAAAAGCTTGAAAAGTGACTGAGAGGTAAGTACAATTTGGAATAATTCACTTTGGCAAAATTAACAGATTTAAATTCAGTTGACTGTGTCCCTTTACATTTCAAAACACACAGAATTACAGACATTAATATCACCACTTCCTAAAAAATAATATCTGTTCAAGTCAAGCTTTTTTTTTTTTTTAACTGTGCAATTTAGATGGGTTGTATCAAATGCCACCGGTATTGCTGCATAAGTAACATGTCACTATACAGTGTTCACAAACACTTCTAAACATAGCTGAGGAGCAAAGCAGCAGTCTGCAAAAGCGGTTAGTTACAGATTTGGGGTTTTTGGGGCGGTTGGGTTATTATTATTGCTATTATACTATTTTGAGGACAGAAATTCTTAGCAAGTCCTTCGCTACACCTGTTTCTCTATGGTACGTACCTGCTTCTACACTACAGCTTAAAAGGTTTCCATATACACAGATGTCTTTCTGCCTTTGTTGGAAACATTCATCTAATTTGGCATAAGCTATTCAGAAACACAATGCCAGACCATTCCAAATTGGGGTGTTTCTTTTTCAGTAATACTGAAGGGAATACAAAATTCTGGATAAGTGAGAACATGAACTGTCAACTTTGGCAAATCAAATCAGAACTCAGTATTTTGGCATTCCCATTATATAAGAAATCAAGTGGTTTATTTTTCATTAACTGCTTTATGATTTTGGATAGCCTGAAAATATTTGGAGTAAGATTTGCATCTGTTACAGACCAGAGCATTAAGGTAGAACAGAGAAATGGATCAGTGTTCACCTACAACTAAAAGGGGAATAAGAAACACTCTTACGAATGAGTTCATACAGCAGACCATTCCTAGCACCTACCATATTTATCCTCACTTCGAAGAAGCCATAAACCAAAATCTTTTCCACAACACTCAAAACTGGCTTACCTTGACCAATTACTAAGACAGCTATTCCTTTTTCCAGTTCTTCAATTCCTTTCTTATACCATTCAACAGCTTGTTCCTTTTGTCCTGCTTAAAAAGGAAGTGAACCCATTATTTTCTGTAATGAATTAAAGCTTAGGAATGGTTCCATATAATGCTATGTAAAACAAGTAAGAGGACAGAAGAAATATTGGACAAAATTCTATGATTTAAAGAAACACTTAAAGGGACACCGTCAACTTTATATCTACTTAGCTTCAAATAAGCTTTTCTATTACAAACAGGTACTACACCAGCCTCAAATCACTTTTGCCTGTTTTAGGAATACTTCCCCATCCACCTTGAAGAGATCAGCCCCCTAAAACAAAAAAACAACCCACACACACACACAAAAAAAAAAAGGTAAAAAAGATAGCCTACACATATTCATTCACAACAGAAATGGTGAAATTAACAGTTTTTCTTTCTGGAACATCAAATTGAGACATGCTTCTTAATCTTCCGGTGGTAGCCAATACCAAAGTAACACTAGAAGCCCAGAAACTCAAGAAGAAATTATTACATGAAACTACAGATACTCCACAAGTGAGACCAGACACTTTTCTTCTGGTTCACTTTTGTACAAACAGCCCACTTGTCACGAGGCTATTCCTTTGTTCATCCGATCATGAAGCTGCTGTACTGCAGGTGTATGTCAACTTCCACATAAAGTACAACACATCTAGAATTAAGAGGACACCTCTGTACCCGCAATGTCCTGGATGGATACAACAGCAAATACAACCATGAACACGCCTATGCCTAACCTATACTACCTGACACCATGACAGCAACTGGAGAGATATTCACACCTACTTCATATTGCTCCCCGTCTATAAATTCTCTGCATTAAAAAGATACTTGTCTGCATATGGAAACCTAGTTTTGCAAGTTAGCTGTATCACACTAGGCATGCCCTTCCACACAGGTAAACAGTGCATTAGGTACTACAATTTAAACCTGATTAGCATTAACAAGTTGCTGGTGCTAGAAAAGCCAAAAATGCCTAGAATGAAACCTTCAGGTATCATTACCCTAGTTTCAGAAGAGATAACGTTTCACAAAACGATTCCTAAGTGCCAGTTACCAGTGATTGTGTCGCTTCTGCACTGAAATCTTTTAATAACTTCAGTCCCAAACCTATTTTCTAGCAAATTTTAGTGCCAGTAAAAAATATTTCAATACATTTCTAGAATCCTCTTGTTTTCTCTTGCTCCTCTGCAGATGCAAAATCTGTTAATTACATTTGTCGAGATCCCCTGTGCAGGTAATCCCACATTTTTCTCTTCTTAATGACACAAACCACAGGACCAACACCTTTGTGCTGTACAGTCATGTACACCACACACCTTGGGAATCATTTTATTACTTTCTCTGCCAGCCTCACATAACCTGACTGTTAAGGACAAAGCTAGATAAATTAAATCATTGAAGTTGAGTGACGTGGATCCTCTCTGTAGCCTTTTTTTTTCTTTAAGCTTCTCCCCATGACCTATAGAAACAGTTTCGACTGCATTGTAGATCTAACGCTGATTACGGCTATTAGAAATGAAATCTGAGATGATTCCAGGCACCTCTGCTATTGCTTGAATTGCTTTGCTGTTCTGATGAGCAGCTGCGAACCTGCCAAGGTCATCATTAAAATCTCACCTCCACCTTTTAACTGGAGGAGTTTTAAAAGCAATATACCAAAGCAAGCTGTTTGCAAAGGGGGTGCTCTGAATCCGCACAGAATGGTTTACTAGTCCTCAGTGACTAAGACATTAAAAGTACAATAAAAAAGAGTCACATTCCTTAGAAGCCATTGATTCGCTGTGCTTGGTCTGACTGGGATAGAGTTAATTTTCTTCATAGCAGCCCCTATGGTGCTGTGTTTTGGATCTGTGACTACAACACTGTTGATAACACACCAGTGTTTTGGCTATCGCTGAAGAGCTTGCACAGCCTCCAGGTTTTCTTTTTCCACTCTAGATCCCTAGCAATTAGGCTGGTGGTGGAAAAGAAGCTGGGAGGGGACACCGCTAGGATGACTAACCCAAACTGGCCAAAGGGATGTTCAATATTGCATGATCTCATGCCCAGCAATAACATCTTGGGTGGAGGAAGAACAGCTGGGCATCGGTAACCAATTGCCTTTGCATCACTTGTCTTGCCTCCAACCTCTCTCCTTCACTTATTAACGTGTCTTTATGCTGAACCACAAGTTTTCTCACTTTTGCTCTTCCTGTTCTCTCCCACCCCACCGAGGGGAGTAAAGAAGCAGCTCTTGTAGGTGCTTAGCTGCTGGCTGGGGTCAACCCACCTCACATGCCTTCCCGGTCCCAGGAAAAGATGTTAAGCTCGATTTTGAAAATACAAAACAAGAATACTAACTTTCCCAATAATTAGAAGCATAAAAATCACCAGAAGTATTATTGTAATTACTGAAGCATGCACAGCTTCCAGAACAGCAAAAATGCCATATAATTAACAGTTATTAGACAATCCAGAAATCCCAACCATTTCACATACTATGCCTAATAAATTGTTTTCTGTTGGAAGCTATAAAAAACTTGTTTACATATCAAATAAATTCAAAGGTATGCATGGATTCCAGTAAAAACAGATAAGCAAATAACAAATTATGTAGAAAGTGAGTTCTTTCTCAGTGAAACGAATATTGAATTTGCAGGGTTTAACAGCTCTGCCCCTGCTTGTGTTAGCAGCAAAGATCTTTTTTTTTTTTTTCTTACTAAATGTATGACCTGTGCAGCTAATTCATATATGACAACCCTAAAAACACCCACAAAGCAAGTCCATGATTGACATTGGTATGTGAAGGCTTACCCTTCAAACCACCAACAGCTATAAGCCACAACAGGGGAACAGGCACCTGATGATGAGACTTAGCCACTCTTCACTGAGCAATCAGTAACAACGCTCAAGTTTTAAGCTATCTCACCTTCTTTCATGCTTTGCTCCTGCCACCCTCCATGCTCTCACGCTGTACACCTGTTCTGAACTAACCTTGCTGCACGTGGTGGGTTTTTTTCCTCCCAGAGCTTACCACTGCCACTCCCAAACTGTCAGTGCAAAGCAAGACACATCCCTCGCTTTGATGGTGCTCTCGGCATGCAGCTTCCATTGAAGGCCTGTTCCTATATTTTTAACCTCCTCCTCTAGGACAGCTGTTTCACTAACGCTCAACTGAAAGGGCATAACAAAGATATTCTAATGTTTCCAGAGAATTTTAAAATGCAGCACACACCCCTGAGGACTACCTTTTGGGTTCTGTCAGAGTTGTGCTACCGCATCCAGACTAAACAGTTAAATCAAATGCACCAGCAATTGCTGCTTTTTTTTTTTTTATCCTCTAGACAGAAAAAAAAATCCTGACTTCTGTTCTATTTAATTGAACCCTAAACATGCTCCTTAAGATCTTCTAGTCACATAGTTTTTTTTAAGAGTAAGCATGTCAAACAGTTTAAGAAAAATGTTTTTTTAAAGCAACTGACAAAATATGAATGAATATTTCTTCCCTTAAAAGTGAAATGACTCCAAACGGGCAGTTTTGAGCCCCAGGTTTCCTGAAGACCGACTGTAACGCTCCCATCCCTTGTCAGACAGCACATTCAGGGATGCTCCCTGATTACTGTCCTGCTGCTTTTGTTGTCTGGGTGGCCTGGTTGAACCGAGAGCTAGTTACGGTCACAGCCCCCGATTTTTCATCGCCTCACCCCGACCTCCGCACCACAAACTTTGAATTAAAGTTATGACAGGGAAATGCAAAGACTTCCCTGGCGTGGTTAGCCAG